TTTACAAAACCTTTCTATTAGATCTTTATCGGAAAATTTATAAAATCCTTGCTAAACAAAATATGCCTTCCAAACACCAGCCTGGTCCCAAAACATTAGAAATATAGTTAAAAAAAATTCCCAATCAGATTTAGTCCTGACATGCCTCTCGGGTAAAGCCATGGGCCTTTGGGATACAGCAAGTTGTGTGTTTTTAGGTGCCATGGGGGCCAATCATGTGTTTCGCACCAGGAAGTCCCTAACCCTTGTGTATGCTCTGGGGTCCTTGGAGGGAGGGAAAAAAAAGTATATTAGCATCCTGTAGAGGTTTGTATGACGTGAACCATGTTTTTTTTTTGCCCCTGGATGGCATGCGCAAAGCACATCCCTCACTGTTAAGAGCAAACCTGTGTTTATGCCTATGCAGTGCAAATCCACTGTGGCCAGTGTAAAGCCATTCTCAGCGTCATACCTCCCCCTACCGCTGCAATCAGACATCGAGACCTGAAAAGAAATACCCGCTAACTAAGCGCGTGCTAGCAGTGCTTGATTGGTCACAGGTGCTCCAGGTACTATATAAACTTTTCTGTATAGCTCACATCTGAGCTTGCTCATTTTTGAGCTTGCCTGTATTTTTTTTTTTTTATTTTTTTTTTTGCTTGCTAGACGTCTGCTCAAGTGACCAATTGTTAAGGTGGATTTAAAAAAACCGGAGTTTGAAAACAAAAAAAAACAGGAGATTATAACATGGAGTCTACTACACCTGTAAGTGTGACAACTGATATGTCCCTGTTAGTACATCATACTATTGTAACTGGTATAGCGTGAGTGCTAGCAGGGTTTAACGGTTTTCTTATCGAGATGTAATGTATTACAGTGTGCCGCAGTGTAAGCAACAATGGAGCAACAGATCTCCAGGATGGATACGCGAGCGAGGCGCTACATATACTGAGCGGGTTGGCCCTTCTGGGAGCTCATTGTTAAGAGAGTCTGGAGGAGCAAGGATTTGCAACAATGGTGCAGAACCGACAACCTTGAATAGGGGTCTTCTGCTCTCTGGGGGAGCAGGGTAGCTAATGGATTGATGTGGAGGGTGGAGGGGCTCATCCAGGATTTATCAGTATGGTAGGAAGATGTGTTACTGTAAGCAAAAGGAAGTGATAGGGGCTCACAGAAAAAGTATGGTTCGGTCCGTGTCCTGGACTTGAGCACCCAAACAGATTTGCCCAAGTTGGTTGAATGATGTGGGGGGTGGCAAGCTCAGGGTGTGGCAGCACATGATAAATCATACACATGCTATCCCTAATACAGCTGGGAGGGCAGACCATCTCTGGAGGGGGTGTGTGATGGTAGTGCAGGTAAGGTCTAAGTCAGTTGGTGATAATAGGGTATTCCTATATCAGAAGGATCTAGATAGAATAGTTTGTCGCCAGGATCGCATCAACCTGAATGGTTTGCTTTCTTCACCTGGTGCCCAGGATTCGGCATGTGATGGACCAGTGTTGATAAAATAACTGGGGCTGGGGCATGACCCAGCTGTCTTTGTTCTATGTTGGAAACCAATGACAGAATACATGGAAGGTGGAGGCTCCTTATCAGAATCAATTTTAAAGACTAGGCTGGCAAGTTGATGAGAAGAACCTCAACCAAGGTGATATTTCCTCTGAAAATAATGTACCTGTAGCCAGGTCGCAACTCAGGAAAGTCATGGAGATTAGAGAACGCAATGCATGGCTAAAGACCTGGTGTAAAGAGGGAAGGGATTTGGGTTTCTAGAAGCACTGGGCCTGATTTTTCATTGGAGTGCAAACCATATATGCTAGAGAGGTTTGCAACCTAAACAGAAGGGAGTCTGCCTGTGCTGGAGTAGAGGTTTATATTGGGATGCCATGGAGGAGTATTTTAAAACTAGGATCAAGGGGGAGTGGAAGAATTAGATTATGATGGGACATGACAGAATCAGACAGGGGTCCAGTCCTTAAATTGGTTGCGTGAAATGGGGAAAGATGGGTGAGGAGGGCAATGGCAGATAAGAAGGTGTCCCAATGTTACAAACAACACTTGAATTTGGTAACCAATTTGTAACAAAAATAAAAAAATCGCAAAATACCGTGTGTACCAAGGTGTCAAAGAATCAAAGTGTATGTGATCACCAATGCCCTATAAGTCCTGCCCAAGCAATAGGTGAGTTGGAGGACAAGCTTTGGTGCATGAAGGGAACTATGATTTGAATTGGTATTGCTGAATCCATTGGCTTCATTCCTTCCATATGAACTGGGCCATTAATATTTCTGGCTATGTTCTCCTTCGGAAGAGACCAGATAAGAAGAAAGGGTGGTGGTATAGAGATGAGCGAAGTATTCAACAATTCGATTCGGCTGATTCGGCGAATTCGCGGAATAAATTCGATACGAGTCGAAATATATTCGTCTGCGCAATTTAACGTTCTAAAAAGGGTGTTCCTAGGCTTCTAGAAGAGGCCTTTATAATTAGTGCCGAACCACTGTTAACCTATAATTTAAATGCCCTTGGAGTCCTGCTGGGGAGAGAAATAATACTGTCCAGTCAGTTAATGACAGTGCAGATGAAGTGCCGTCGATCTTAGAATCATCACCGGCACACTTCACTCAATTTGGGCAGTCACGGTGCCAACACCCAGAAGTGTGGAGCCACAGTGTGGTCAGTGGAGGCAGCAGCAATGGGAGGCCAATACAGGCAGCCCTATGAGAAAATGAAAAAAAATGGAACCCACCAGCAGAGTGAGAGAACCTGAAAGTGGCACAATGGCAGAGTGTGGCGATGGAGACAGTAACAGCAATGGGAGGCCGTACAGGGACCCATGAACACACTCTGGACCTGGCAGCAGCATGAGGAGGCGGTACATGGGGCCCATGAAACAGATTAACGGGCCTGGCAGCATTGGCCGAGCAATTGAGACACACATATCGGTACCAGCAGTGGGTCGAGGAGACCCATGGCAGATTACGTGGCCTGAGACAGCAGCAATGAGGAGGCTGTACAGGGGACCCATCGACACACTCTGGACCTGGGGGGGGGGGGGCAGCAGCACATGAGGAGGCGGTACAGGGGCCCATGACAGATTAACGGGCCTGGCCAATAAGCAGCATGAGAGTCGGTACGGGGGCCCATGGCAGATTACGGGCCTGGCAGCAGCAATGGGAGGCCCGTAATCTGCCAGCACCCTATGACAAAATGGAACCCACCAGCAGTGTGGAGGAGACCTGAAAGTGGCACATGGCAGAATTGTGGCGATGGAGGACAGCAGCAATGGGACGGCCGTACAGGGACCCATGACACACTCACAGACCTGGCAGCAGCATGAAGGAGCGCAGTGGTACAGGGCCCATGACAGATTTACGGGCCTGGCAGCAGCATGAGGAGTCGGTAACGGGGGCCCATGGCCAAAAAGATTACGGGCCTTGGCAGCAGCAATGGGAGGCCCGTAAATCTGCCAGCACCCTATGACAAAATGGAACCCCACCAGCAGTGTGAGGAGACTCTGTGAAAGAGTGGCACATGGCAGAGTGTGGCGGATGGAGACAGCAGCAATGGGAGGCCGTACAGGGACCCATGACACACTCTGGACCTGGCAGCAGCGATGAGGAGGCGGTACAGGGGTCCCATGACAGATTACCGGGCCTGGCAGCAGCATGAGGAAGTCAGGTACGGGGGCCCATGGCAGATTTACGGGCCTGCAGCAGATTATGGGAGCCCGTAATCTGCCAGCACACTGCGTATACGCGCGCGATGGAACCCACCAGCAGTGTGAGGAGACCTGAAAAATGGGCACATGGCAGAGTGATTGCGATTGGAGACAGCAGCAATGGGGGCCCGTACAGGGACCCATGACACACTCTGGACCTGGCAAAGCAGCAATAGGAGGCCGGTACAGGGGCACATGGCAGAGTGGCGAAGCGTAATGCAGATTAAATTGAAGGCCATACAGAGGCCTATGTTAAAAATAAATAACATGTTTGGTGGGCATGATACATGGCGTATTTAGTCTAGTTGTGTCAGACAACTGGTGGTTTGAAGTCCAGACTAATCCAACGCCTGATTTCCAGTTTCACAAACGTGAGATCTCTCTCCACACTTTGGGTGGACAGGTCCGTGTCCTCCGCGTAATTTAACACATACCTCCTGCCGCAACTAAACAACGGCGCTCACCGATGCCACGCTATCTCGGCCGGGCCATGACAGCCTTTCAAGGGCCACAAATTCAGCTAGTTGGGGGCCAAAGGTTTAAGGGTTCGTTGCCCAGTAGGTCAAGGGGGATTGTACTACCTCGGGTGCTGTCCAAGTAGGCCCAAGCCTGTTGTTTGAGGTCCTGCTCCAGGTCCACCTGAATGCTGCTGCTGCTGCGGCTGTGGCTGGTTAGTAGTTTCCTCACTGGCGCTGGTGAAGAAAGCTACTCAATCATCGACTTGCAGACTGAGGCAGCCCGCTGCTGGTGGAGCTGCCACTGATCCTACCACCCCCACCCATCCCCTGCTGCCATGGCAGCGGAACGCGAGCGCACAGGGCCCACAGTGTCCTGAGGATGGACATTGGGCGCAGAAAGGCAGAGACCAACTGAACTACATTAGGTGGTTTTTTATAGTACTCTTATTTTGCCTCCCTCTCTCAGCAGGTGTGAAAAAGAGCCACGGCCATTTTTTTTGAACGGTAGCGGAGGGTCCAACAAGGTGGAACAGCCAAAAGTCATCCCTCTGACCTGATGGTTAATTATTCGGCCTGTCGCTATGTCAAGCAACCGGAGCGCATAGCTAGGGGCCATTTGTGCCAAGGAATGCGAAAAAAAAGGTAAACTTCCCTGCCTCCATCTCCACAGAATACTTCCACGGTGCGTCTGGGTCCCTCTGTCTTCCTCCTCCCTCCTCTACCAGATGCTCCTTGCTCCTCCAACTCCTGTCCGCTGAGTGGAAAAACCACCCATTTCACTCAATAATTCTGAGCACCAAATGTCCAAGACCTCTACCCTCCTCCTCTTCTTACCTTCCTGCCCCCACAGGGCTCACATGTGGGGTTGAGATCTGTGCGCCACGTCTACCGCATCGCCCAACCTGAACCATCCATTGTTTAACCAGCATTTTTTTCCAGGACCGTGCAACAGAGGAATGACGTCGTTCCATCCCCATAGTCCCTGCCGACTCACGAATAGCGTGGCCACCTCAAAAGGGCCTGAGCAAGCGGCAGTGTCCCCATTGAGGCTGCCAATGGCTGACATCTAAGTTACACAGGGATTACCTTTATTCCGCGCTTGGTAACATCAGAAATCTGTGATGGGCCTTTTTCGCTGTTCGTAAAGGCTGTCTACACACCATGTAGGTTGAATTCCACCTTGTTGCAAAACGTCACAGCATGAGGAGTCGGTACGGGGCCCATGGCAGATTACGGGCCTGGCAGCCGCAATCGGTAGGCCCGTAAATCTGCCAGCACCCTATGAACAAAAGTGTGAACCCACCGCCATTGTTGAGGAGACCTGAAAGTTGCACATGGCAAGTGTGGTGCGATGGAGACAGCACGCAATGGAGGCGTACAGGTAACACATGACACACTCTGGACCAGGCATCAGCAGAGGACAGGCCGGAACGCAGGGGCCATGAAGCAATTACGGGGCCTTGGTCTGCAGCAATGAGGAGTCGGTACGGGGTGCCCATGGCAGATTACGGGCCCAGGCAGCAGCAATGGGAGGCCCGTAATCTGCCAGCACCCTATGACAAAATGGGGAACCCACCAGCAGTGTGAGGAGAAAACCTGAAAGTGTCACATGGCAGAGTTGTAGCGATGGAGACTGCAGCAATGGGAGGGGCCGTACATGTAGGAACCCATGACAGATTACGGGCCTGGCAGCAGCATGAGGAGGCGGTACAGGGGCCCATGACAGATTAGGGGCCTGGCAGCAGCAATGGGAGGCCCGAAATCTGCCAGCACCCTATGACAAAATGGAACCCACCAGCAGTGTGAGGAGACCTGAAAGTGGCACATGGCAGAGTGTGGCGATGGAGACAGCGAGCAATGGGAGGCCGTACAGGGACCCATGACACACTACTGGAACCCTGGCAGAGCAGGCATGAGGAGCGCGGTAACAGGGCCCCCATGACAGATTACGGGCCTGGCAGCAGCATGAGGAGGCGTTACGGGGGTCCCATGGCAGAATTACTACGGGCCTGGCAGCAGCAATGGGAGGCCCGTAATCTGCCAGCACCCTTATGACAAAATGAGAACCCACCAGCAGTGTGAAGTAGACCTGAAAGTGGCACAATGGCAGAGTGAGGCGATGGGAGACAGCACAATGGGAGGCCGTACAGGGACCCCATGACAGATTACGGGCCTGGCAGCAGGCATGAGGAGTCGGTACGGGGGCCCAATGGCAGATAACAGGCCTTGCAGCAGCAATGGGAGGCCCCGTAAATCATGCCAGCACCCTATGACAAAATGGAACCCACCACCACGCGATGTTCAGGAGACCGTGAAAGTGGCACATGGCAGAGTGTTGCGATGGTAGACAGCAGCATTGGTAGGCCGTACAGGGACCCCATGACACACTACTGGACCCTGGGCATCAGCAAGAGGAGGCGGTTACACAGGGCCCATGGCCCAGAGTGGCGAAGCGTTAAGCAGATTTACATTGAAGGCCCATACAGAGGCATATGTTAAAAATAAAATAACATGTTTGGGCATGATTTCATGCCCGGAATTAAGTTCAGTTGTGTCAGGACTGGTGGTTTGGAAGTCCATACTCAATCCACGCCTGATTCATTTTCCACTAAACGTGAAGTCTCTCCCTCACCAACACTTTGGGTGGACAGACGAGTCCTCCGCGCGCCAAGTTACAACAATAACCTCCTGCCATGCACTAAACAACGCGCTTCGCGTCCCGATGCGCAACGCTACTGTAGGCCCGGGCATGCCAGCCTTTCAAGGGCAAATTCAGGGCTAGTTTGGGGACAAAGGTTTAATTTTCCGTTGCCCCAGTAGTCAAGGGTGATTAGTCTACCCTCAGGGTGCTGTCCAAGTAGGCCAAGCCTGTTGTTTGAAGTCCCTTGCTCCAGGTCCATCACCTGATGCTGGCTGCTGCTCTGCGGCTGCGGGCTGGTTAGTAGTTTCACCCCTCCAGCTGCGCTGGTGAAGAAAGCTACTCATCATCGACTGCAGACTGAGGCAGCACCGGCTGCTGGTGGAGCTGCCACTGCACCTACCCACCCCACCCCTCCCCTGCTGCCATGGCGCGGAACGCGAGCGCACAGGGCCCACAGTGTCGAGGATGGACATTGCGAGAAAGGCAGAACCAACTGACTACAAGGTGGTTTTTTTATATTTATTTTTGGGCCCCCCTCTCACAGGGGTGAAAAAGGCCCCCATTTTTGAACGTAGCGAGGGTCCAACAAGGGGACAGCCAAAAGCATCCCTCTGTCTGATGGGTTTTTATTCGGGGCTGCGCTAGCAAAAA